GTTAGGGGGGGGGGGGGTGTACTGGAATCAGTTTGTTTATCCGTCTATCTGTCAACTCGTTCTAAAGTAGTGGACCAATTTCAATGAAAGTTTCCAGATATGATAACTGACACCTGAACCTGAAGTTGGGGATCGAGGTATTATTTTTTCATTGTGACCTTTTCCCCCCTCAAAGTTATGGCCTTGTGTTAAAAAATCCTTGTCCGGCTATGTTCTCCAAAACTAAGGGGTCAATTTCAACTATTACTTTTGGTTCAAAAAAAGAAAAACATAGCTTTCTTTCCACATTTCATTTAACCTGTGTTACTTCATGACTAAAGGTCATTGGATGTTGATATTTTGTAAGAAGGTTGTTCATCTCAATGAGTTTAAGTGTTGTTAATTTTGATGACCTTGACCTTTGTTCAAGGTCACAAAAACCAAATGTGCCGAAATATTTTTTTTGTATGGGGAGTCAGACAAGGGTATCTTTCCTTGCTTTATTTGTTTAGAGTTAACGATATAAAATAGTGTAATATCCCTTCATATTTTGTTTAATGAATGGCCAAAAGGCTACAAAAATAATAACTAGAACTGTAAGCCAAAGATTAACTAAAACCTCCGCTCCTATATAAACTAGAACTGTAATCCAAAGGCTAAGTAAGGCAAAGCATTGCAAATTAATCTATAGTCTCCTACCAGTAATGTATATATGTCACTGACATACTTCTTGTACTCCCTCCCTATGCCAAAACATACTTTCATACCACATCTTGTTATCCTAGATTATCCTTTTACTGAAATCGTTCTAGTAGTTAAGGAAGAGTTATCAAGACAAAGATTTTTAACAAAGGGACATAACTCCTTAAAAGGGTCGAAATGAACAAATACTACCTTGATACAAAACATCAGGGGGTAATACCATATCTGTAAGCTTTCATGAAATTGGCCCAGAAGTTTAAGATGCAGACAATTTTTTTCAAGAAAAGGCCATAACTTTGAAAACATACTTCATGGATGCACAATGTCAGGGGGCAGTTACCATATCTGTAAACTTTCGTTGAAATTAATAATAATAATAATAATATACAACATTTATATAGCGCCCTATATAATTTGTAAAATTACTCTAAAGCGCTTTACAACATATGGATAATAGTAATGGTTATAATTGTGAAAACAAAAAACAAAGGCTTACAATCTCTGTTATACATTTAAGCAAGCAATGTGCACATGATTGAACAAATAAAAGGATGGTATTTACATAACGTCTTTGCAAAGATTCTAAAATGCAGACGTGAAGAGGTGAGTTTTGATGTCCCTCTTGAACTTGGCCAGGGTATTGGACTTTCTAATTGCAGATGGTAAGCTATTCGACAACGTAGCCGAAACCCTTCCAAAGCATCTGTTTCCGTAGGTCACAGTACGAGATTTTGGGACACACAACAAAGATTCTGACTCCGACCGCAGTGATCGTCACGGCTGATACAGGGTAACAAGCTCCTGTATGTACTGAGGAGCTGTTCCATTTAGTCCCTTGTATGTGTACACCAGAATTTTGTACTGTGACCTGTATCGTACAGGTAACCAGTGTAACGAATAGAGCACAGGTGTGATGTGCTCTCTCTTTCGAGTACGAGAAACTAGCCGTGATGCAGTGTTCTGGACCCTCTGCAGACGACTGGTTAGTTTGTCAGATATACCACAGAGCAGGGCGTTACCATAATCCAACCGAGAGGTAACAAGTGAATGCACCAAAATCTTGCATGCATCTGCAGTTAAAAACTGCCGAATACAGCCGATGTTCCTGATCTGGTAGTAACAGGATTTGGCAATAGTGTTCACTTGTTTCTCCATGTTCAGTGAACTATCAAAGTAAACCCCTAGGTTTTTAACAGCTGGAACAGTCTCAATAGTTCTGGCACCGGCCTTGAGCTGGAGAGCCATTGTTTGCTGACACTTTGGGGAAAAGACGATTAGTTCCGTCTTTTCCTGATTAAGCTTAAGCATGTTGGCGTTCATCCAGATACTGATATCTGTCAGACAAGCTTCCAGACTTTCTGAGACGGTATTCCAACTGTCCTGTTGTTTGAGGACCATGTAAATGTGTGTGTCATCGGCATAGCAATGATAGCGAAGGCTATGGCGACGACAAATCTCTCCAATCGGTTTGGAGTACATACAATATTTTTGTGGTCCTAACACCGACCCTTGAGGAACCCCGAAATCTAGTACTTTGTCATGTGATGTGGAAGATCCGATGGCAACACACTGTCGTCGTTCACTCAGGTAAGACTGTATCCAGCATAGTGCGGTATCAGTTGGCCCATAGTTTTGGAGGAGTTGTCTGGACAAGTGTTTTTCAACAAAGGGCCATTACTCCGTAAATAAATGGTCAGATTGAAAAAAGAATTCCTAGATGCAGACCATCAGATGGTTGTTACCATATCTGGAAACTTTCGTTGAAATTGACCCCTTAGTTTTGGAGGACATAGCCAGACAAGGATTTTTCAACACAAGGCCATAACTTTGAGGGGGGAAAAGGTCAGAATGAAAAAATAATACCTGGTTGCACATCTTCAGGTGTCAGTTATTATATCTGAAAACTTTCGTTGAAATTGGTCCACTACTTTAGAATGAGTTGACGGATAGACGGATAGACAAGCTGATTCCACCCCACCCCTAACTTCGTTGCAGGGGTATAATAAAGTGTATAATAGTTTTGTTATTAAGATTATTTTATTTATTTTTAGATAATTGCATAGCTTTGTCTATAACACAATCTCAAACCTAAAGTAGTTCTACAGAGGAAAGATTACTATGACAGAATACATATTCATGAGTTATTACTGTTGCACATAACTTGAAAACATGCCTAACATGATAAAGTGTTTTAGTATGATACAAAACAGATAATGTATCGGTATTTATCATAATAAACATTGATAGTCAAATCTTCAAGGTTATGTGAAATTGGGCATTGATCATGTTTGGCATGCTAAAAATGTACTTTACCAGTTTTGATATTACATAAAAATGATTCTGTAGACAGAATATATACAAAGGAAGTTGTTAAAGAAGTTTAAAATATAGACTACCATTGTAACTATATAAAGGCAAGTTGACAAAGTTAGTTTTATTTTAAATTTTGTGAAAATTGTGCATGTTTTTCCAATTAAAAGTATCACTACGCTTACGTCATGTCTACCAATATGACATATTTAGTAGCAAAATAACAGTAATATTATACACTATACACTATCATAATTCATTTCCAAATTAATATTTGCCTGTGATATTTATCGGTCATTTTGTTAGGATAGCCCCGTCACTCAACCTGGTGTTATGCAAGGAGGGCAACTACGGTTATCAGTAACAATTATGAATAATCATTTATGCAGTTATTGATCATTTTTATGTATCTACATATGGCAAAAGAATAAAGGAAATCAAAGAGGGGGCCAAGTGTTGACCCCACCTTTACCGGTTTTCATTTTTTTTTTGAAATTCCTGATGTAGAAAGATATTAGTGGTAGCCAACTTTTTAACAAGTAAGAAAAATAGACTAGTTTTAGAACTATATGAATTAACGTGTCAAAAATGGAAAATTTCTCATTAGAAATGAAATTTCACACATTTTTCTGCTTAATTCTTAAATAAAAAGAACAATTCTTTATTGAAATAGTGTAATATTCGGTATGAAAATAACAGTTGTAATACGTTGCACACGATGATGATATAATTTTATAGTAATTGTGCCATTTAAATGCTCTAGGGGGGAATTGTATTACTGCACCTTTAACACCCACACAGGTGTAAGTCAAGGAGGTCCCATTTATCATCAAATGAATTCTGAAACTAACTGTTCCTGATTTAAGCTTCCTATACCCATACCCTTTTGGATTTATCTTGTTTTGAAATTCCAAGTGGGGGCCGACGCTAATGATAAATATTTACATTCAGATGAATATAATGGTTTCAGACAGATTTTTAAAGGCTTGATTATCTATTCAGTACACAGGTTCCTTATTTCAGTGAATGAGACATATAGTCGAATTTGCCGCATAACGTAATTACAAATGTATGTCATTAACAGTCCTTTAACAGTTGAGGCATTGTGATCCAAGCAAGCATTACAGCATTGACTGTCCAAACAAACAAACAAAGTTTGACGGATAGACAGACTGATTGCAATCCTATAACCCCCAAAACCCACGAGAATGGCCTATTATGCCTTTGGTTTTTTATATCTTGATTATTGACAAACGGTCCCTCTCTGTAAAGCTAGGTTTAACCGATATACAGGCTTCATATACAAACTGAATGGCGACCCGAACAACTTATAATTCAGTGTTGATATCAATTGCTTTTCTAATATGTCTGTTTGTGCCGTATACACGAAAATCAAATTGGATGAAAAAGGAAAATCTGTGATGTTTCCGTCTGTCAAATAACTAGTCCAATACGGCACTGGAATTGTCCGATAATGGGAAATAATTAAGATCACTTTTGAGCCATTTCCTTGCTTGCCAGTCATCAAAGCACATACCATAATAAGATCAAATGCATTTCGACAAACCATCACGTCCCTATAATCCCGTTTCCTCGTCGCTTTTAATTTCGAGCTACGTTATATTAAATCAGAATAGCTGATTTGTTCTTAAGGAAATGTGCTGCGACTTCCGAAATCGTATATCTTAAACAGCGCGCACATCACAGGTATATGTCATCTGAGCTCTTTCGTAGCTGGAGGGATATCTATTTTTAATACGTCGCATATCCGTTCACATTGACAATTGTTTTAGTTTTTTCTTCGATGAGCTGTCTCAAGCATATATGAATATCTTATTTAAATGAAGCTTCAAACTCTAAACTAGAATAGTTAATATACTATTTATCATTGATTTTACTGTTAGTCGTCGAAACAGCTTAGGTCATAGGATAACTCACAAAGCAGTGGTCTAATCAATGACTGTTAAAGAATAGGTTTCCCAGTGCATGATTATCGTATGAGGCGAATATCACCCTGTACAGAATCGTTGGTTTATTCTGCTTAGAGATACCTCTTTACAACGCTTGTGGCCTCTATCATTTCTCTCCTTTTCTACCTCTTTACAACGCTTGTGTTCTCTATCATTTCTCTCCTTTTCTACCTCTTTACAACACTTGTGGTCTCTATCACTTCTCTCCTTTTCTACCCCTTTACAACACTTGTGGCCTCTATCATATCTCTTCTTTACTACCTCTTTACAACACTTGTGGTCTCTATCATTTATCTCTTTTTCTACCTCTTTACAACACTTGTGGTCTCTATCATTTCTCTCCTTTTCTACCTCTTTACCACGCTTGTGGCCTATTTTCTTTCTCTCCTTTTCTACCTCTTTACAAAGCTTGTGGCCTCTATTATTTCTCTGCTTTTCTACCTCTTTACAACGCTTGTGGCCTATATCATTTCTCTCCTTTTCTACCTCTTGACAACACTGGTGGCCTCTATTATTTCTCTCCTTTTCTACCTATTTACAACGCTTGTGGCCTCTATCATTTCTCTCATTTTCTACCTCTTTACAACGCTTGTGGCCTCTATCATTTCTCTCCCTTTCTACCTCTTGACAACACTTGTGGCCACTATCATTTCTCTCCTTTTCTACCTCTTTACAGAATCGTTGGTTTATTCTGCTTAGAAATACCTCTTTACAACGCTTGTGGCCTCTATCATTTCTCTCATTTTCTACCTCTTTACAACGCTTGTGGCCTATATCATTTCTCTCCTTTTCTACCTCTTGACAACACTGGTGGCCTTTATCATTTCTCTCCTTTTCTACCTCTTGACAACACTGGTGGCCTCTATTATTTCTCTCCTTTTCTACCTATTTACAACGCTTGTGGCCTCTATCATTTCTCTCCCTTTCTACCTCTTTACAACGCTTGTGTTCTCTATCATTTCTCTCCTTTTCTACCTCTTTACCACGCTTGTGGCCTATTTTCTTTCTCTCCTTTTCTACCTCTTTACAAAGCTTGTGGCCTCTATTATTTCTCTCCTTTTCTACCTATTTACAACGCTTGTGGCCTCTATCATTTCTCTCCCTTTCTACCTCTTTACAACGCTTGTGTTCTCTATCATTTCTCCCCTTTTCTACCTCTTTACAACACTTGTGGCCTCTATCATTTCTGAGGTTTCCCAGTGCATGATTATCGTATGAGGCGAATATCACCCTGTACAGAATCGTTGGTTTATTCTGCTTAGAAATACCTCTTTACAACGCTTGTGGCCTCTATTATTTCTCTCTTTTTCTACCTCTTTACAACACTTGTGGCCTCTATCATATCTCTCCTTTACTACCTCTTTACAACACTTGTGGTGTCTATCACTTCTCTCCTTTTCTACCTCTTTACAACACTTTTGGCCTCTATCATTTCTCTCCCTTTCTACCTCTTGACAACACTTGTGGCCACTATCATTTCTCTCCTTTTCTACCTCTTTACAACACTTGTGGCCTCTATCATTTCTCTCCTTTTCTATCTCTTAATAACACTTGTGGCCTCTATCATTTCTCTCCTTTTTTACTTCTTTACAACATTTGTGGCCTCTATCATTCCTCTCCTTTTCTACCTCTTTACAACATTTGTGTCCTCTATCATTTCTCTCCTTTTCTACCTCTTTACAACGCTTGTGGCCTCTATTATTTCTCTCTTTTTCTACCTCTTTACAACACTTGTGGTCTCTATCATTTCTCTCTTTTTCTACCTCTTTACAACACTTGTGGCCTCTATCATTTCTGTCCTTTTCTACCTCTTTACAACACTTGTGGTCTCTATCACTTCTCTCTTTTTCTACCTCTTTACAACACTTGTGGCCTGTATCATTTCTCTCTTTTTCTACCTCTTTACAACACTTGTGGTCTCTATCATTTCTTTTTTTTCTACCTCTTTACAACACTTGTGGCCTCTATCATTTCTCTCCTTTTCTACCTCTTTACAACACTTGTGGCCTCTATCATTTCTGTCCTTTTCTACCTCTTTACAACGCTTGTGGCCTCTATCAGTTCTCTCCTTTTCTACCTCTTTACAACACTTGTGGTCTCTATCATTTCTCTCTTTTTCTTCCTCTTTACAACACTTGTGGCCTCTATCATTTCTGTCCTTTTCTACCTCTTTACAACGCTTGTGGCCTCTATCATTTCTCTCCTTTTCTACCTCTTTACCACGCTTGTGGCCTCTTTTATTTCTCTCCTTTTCTACCTCTTTACAACGCTTGTGGCCTCTAGCATGTCTCTCCTTTTCTACCTCTTTTCAACGCTTGTGGCCTCTGTCACTTCTCTCCTTTTCTATCTCTTAATAATACTTGTGGCCTCTATCATTCCTCTCCTTTTCTCCCTCTTTACAACACTTGTGGTCTCTATCATTTCTTTTTTTCTACCTCTTTACAAAAACTTGTGGCCTCTATCATTTCTGTCCTTTTCTACCTCTTTGCAACGCTTGTGGCCTCTTTTCTACCTCTTTACAACACTTGTGGTCTCTATCATTTCTCTCTTTTTTTACCTCTTTATAACGCTTGTGGCCTCTATCATTCCTCTCCTTTTCTACCTCTTTACAACACTTGTGGTCTCTATCATTTCTCTCTTTTTTTACCTCTTTATAACGCTTGTGGCCTCTATCATTCCTCTCCTTTTCTACCTCTTAATAACACTTGTGGCCTCTATCATTTCTCTCCTTTTCTACCTCTTGACAACACTTGTGGCCTCTATTATTTCTCTCTTTTTCTACCTCTTTACAACACTTGTGGTCTCTATCACTTCTCTCCTTTTCTACCTCTTTACAACTCTTGTGGCCTCTATCATTTCTCTCCTTTTCTACCTCTTTACAACGCTTGTGGTCTCTATCACTTCTCTCTTTTTCTACCTCTTTACAACATTTGTGGTCTCTATCACTTCTCTCTTTTTCTACCTCTTTACAACACTTGTGGCCTCTATCATTTCTCTCCTTTTCTACCTCTTTACAAAAACTTGTGGCCTCTTGTGGTGTCTATCACTTCTCTCCTTTTCTACCTCTTTACAACGCTTGTGGTCTCTATCACTTCTCTCTTTTTCTCCCTCTTTACAACACTTGTGGCCTCTATCATTTCTCTCCTTTTCTACCTCTTTACTACACTTGTGGCCTCTATCATTCCTCTCCTTTTCTACCTCTTTACAAAAACTTGTGGCCTCTATCATTTATCTCCTTTCCTACCTCTTTACAAAAACTTGTGGCCTCTATCAATTTTCTTTTCGATGGTTTCGCCCTAGACACCCATCATCATAAAATAACCTTGAGGAAAAGATTACTTTCAATTAAACCACCACCACCACCATTTCAGGGGTTGACGTTTGAATGATAGACCTTTGCGGAAAATGGACAGCGTTTAATGGAAAATGCTAATCAGGATAGAACCTTACTCAAATATATTTTCAAATAGACGTTTGGCGGATAACCTATTGTAACAATTTGGTATAAAGGTGGCAGACATATGTTTGAACAGTTCACTTCCATCGAGAGGATATGTCCATGAAGGTGCATTAGCTTTAAAACAAGGTTCATATATTCCTTAAGCACTGTTCACAACGATACGAAGCCGGCCTGAGAGATATTTTACCTGGTAGTAAGAAACGAACAATGGAGCACAGCTGTCTCCTAGCATTGGTATGTGATGGTGGAGGAAGTAAATCCAGAGCCAGTTTTCGCCTTAATAATAGCCACTACAGCCAATCGCAGGATCAGTTTGTAGGCGTGATCATGAAATTTACCTAACATCTCAGGTACCTTAACACTTTTTTGTCAGTAGCACCTTTGATGAGCCTTTGGCACCAGAGTTGCATTCTTCGAAGGAAGGTGTACCCCCATTGACATGTACCACTGTACCTGCCTGATATTTATCTTTCAACACAGACATTGTAACTGTCGTACACTAGCGCGTTTCCTGTGCATGACTGACAGTAGAATGTGCGGATTGTTTCCACCGCAGCCGGAGGCACTCTGGGGTAAGTTCAACTGTGCTAATACTAATACCGAATCCCAAGACAGACTATGCGTTGTGATGGGCCGTCGACCTTGTTTCAGCTGAATTCAAGGTGACGAAGCTTAAAGAACGCTTAAGGAGACATCAGAAATATCAATCAGTCAGAAACTCACTTAAGTATGCCATAATATTAACAGTATATCTCTGTGTCGTGGTGCCACATACTGCTGAACTAAATCATTGGAATAGTTTGGGGCTCCGGTAATGACCAAAAGGAAGCTTACTGTCATACATGTTACATCTAATCGCCTTTAAGTTTCCATTTCAGTAACGACAGCTGGGGTTTGTAATATGTATCTTCGCATATCTATAGACACATTCCAAGTCAATTATTACTATGTCTGCACTCTGTCCCCATATTGTTACCAACCGCAATTTCCGTCTGTATTTTTCGTACGCCTTTAAAACAAACGGACGGCACGTATCGTGGTATAGGGTCCGTCCAACTGCACTCTGGCATTGCCAGATAAATTGCTTCAATTTCATTTGATTTTGATGAAACTTGGTAAGCATGTACAATAAAGTAAAGGTTAAGTTGGGAATTGAACAAAATCTGCACATGATAAATTAGCATACTGTGATTGGTCGAAAATATCCGGACAATATTCTAAACATACATGGCTATCCCTTTAACGTATCCATTTCATTAAAGACGAAGGGGTATGTTAAGGGGTTTCTAATGAGTCTTTGTCAATATTTACACATGTGCAAAATTTGCCAGTAATAAATGAGCACTCAAACATACCAATGGTTTAAGGTCAACTGATTAAGGCTAAGTAATTCTCATCTTGTAATAAATCAACAGAGGGAAGCAATTAATATGCATATATAAAAATCATATATTTCTCCAGCATAAGTTGGGGAAGTACAATGTGTTTCTCCTTTCATGAGCAATGTTCAAAGGGGTAAAATTAGCTCAAATGCAGTCTTCTTAAAATATAAATATTAAATACTCTTCATGGAATGAAGGAACGAATGAGCTGTATCAAAATTGTGAATTTCATTACCCCAAATCTGGTGGAGTATGATGGATTGTGTATGCCTCGACTAATCAGAGGCCAGCACTAGTGTAGCCATCGTTGAATTAGATACCATGAAAAATATCAAGTTTGACTCAAATCGTCTCATGGAATTCGTGAAGTTGAAAATGTCGTGGTCAACCAGAGGTCATAGCAAAGGTATCAGTCTATAAAGTGTGATTAAAATTGGCCAGGTGAAAAGCCCCCTTAATGTCTTTGTTCCAAGTCGAAACCACAACTTTCATTTATGCAAACTAAAGTTACTTTATTTATTATTAAATAAGTGGTATTTTCAAATTTCCCCCATTAAGCAAAGCACTTCTGCAGTAACCTCCCTGTTTGAATGTTTGAATTCGTTGGGTCTATATCGATGCTTCGCACCAATAAATTGAAACTCCTTCGGTTGTTTTTAAGGGGGTAGAGTGGGGGGGTGGGGGGGAAACATGACGGACGCACGCGCGACATTAAGCATGACACAGTTTATGTCAGGTAGTGTAAAAAGTTTAAAAGAATATCAACGTATGAAATACATAGGAAGAGCTTTTGTCGTAATCCGTCCCGTTATATAAACTGATTACAGACAAATCTCCTTGAATCGATTTAAGACTTGCGGCTGCATTTTTTCCAGTTCTATATATCCTACGGTAAATCAGCTATGTAATTGAAAGGAGATTGTCCGATCCTACTAATGCACATTTCAGAAGCACTTAACGAATGGCTTGGTGTTGTCAGTGACAAACGCCAAAAGTGCATATCAGGAACAGCCAATTATAGCATTCTATAAGGCTGATTGGAGCCAATTGATCGCGCTGAGAACACTCTTGCTGTTCCGACAATATCACATGATCACTCAGCCCGTTATGTCGCGGGTAGTGTGCCCTGTCAGACTGACAAGTCCTTACCTCAATAAACAACATGTCATTCAGATTTCACCAAAACGCCATTGCACTTTACAACGATCACTTGACATGATCTTTTCAATTCCAGAGGAGTCAAGATAACTGCTAATTCACGTGAACAGGTCTTTAATGATGTAGTTTCGTGGGGCGAAAGGTTTTTGATTCGGGTTTTCCTTTTGACTGATAGGATATAAATATTAGTGCACATTAGTAAAAAGCGCTATATTAACATTTGCTGACGACGGTGTCTATTAGATTTCCCTGTGATATGAAGGAAAAGTTACCTACATGAATGACATCAAGATAAATATTATTTCTTTTTTTAAGGCTTTTTTATGTTTGTACATCTCTTAATAAACCAGAATTATGATTAATTGATGAAGTACATGGTGTATTAGTAGCCAAATATCATATTTTTTATATTTAATAATTTATTTATTGTATTTTCGTTTTTGTCTAATACATTTTGTTCTTTGTACACATTAGTTTGTATTACATTCTATGTATTTTTTTCATTTTCACTTTTTTGTACTTTTTATACTGGTAATTATACCAAATACAAATGCACGAGCTGAAAAAAAAGACAGTTCCATTTCATGATACGTTCTGGTAATACATTTTTAAACATAATCCTTTGCATTATTTAAGCTTATTAGACTGATACTATTACTTGTACAGTGTTTAAGGCTTTCCTAATGTTTTAATGTGCATTTTTATACGGGTGAACATCCTTTTCCTTGGTTTTATTGAGAACACTGATGCGACCAAATTTGATCTGCAACTTTTCCTACAATTCAACTTTTGCGTTAGTGCCTACCCAGACGCCACTGGTTACCCCAGGAGTAACGGCGTTACCGAGTGAGGTGTGACACTAACGTGGTCTTCTGGTGACATGTTCTATCGTCTATGTACAACACCACACAAGTAAACACATGTAAGGCTGTGCTTTTTGGATCATTCTTGGCAAACAGTGACAGGTTTTGACAGGTTTCATTCTGCTTGGTGGTCATTTATGGTACAGAAGCTGATGCACTGTCAAGTTTATCTGAGCTGTCCATCTTGACGACCTTCGCCGTATAATTGATTGATTGATTCATTCATTTATTCATTCACGTCTTCCGAACAGCTAATTTATAACGGGAATTGATAAGCTGAATGATTGTATTGTTCTTATTAATACAATATGTTAGAATATGATAGACTGAACTGTAGTTGTATGCGTTTTGTTTCAAACTTTTCATTTTCCTTCAAACATTAGACAAAAACGGTAATGCAAATGAAGATCATTTTCCTTTTTTAACAAAACCAAGTGGTTTATAAGACCTTTATCGCTCATCTTTGTCTTATGCTATCTTAGCTAATACCTAGACAAGACTTTGACATTTTCCCACTACCTGAATACCATGGTTGCCATGTCGGATGTTTTTAGTTTGGCCTGAATCATAAAGACAAGGACAACACAAGAGCATTCGTACGACATTTTGTTAAAATGGATCTGATGGCATGGAGAATGAGCCATGCATGTTTCCGAGGACAGGGTGGATAGTGTAGGTCCTGAATCAACCCAAATAATAACAGCACCTGGTAAGGACAATGAGAGCATTATGCAGATAAACTTTTGTTGACATTTGCCTTGCAGAGGTTGCGAAGAAGTTGAAAGTTGATTTTGAATTGGTTCGAAAAATATGAAGAAACGTTTCAGCCAAGCAAAAGGCAAAGGTAGAAAGTTTGGATTTCAAATTCATCCCCCAAATGATTTGTCATGGATTGATTTTTTTCATCAGTTTGTTAAAGTTCGCTAGTTGCCTAACTTGGTGCAAATGGGAGTAGTCTTCCAAAGATTTACCCCTATTTTTAGGAGAGTGGGTTGTACCATTCGTACACATACAACACCCGAGTCCTCTTTAACCAGCGAAACTACAGACAAAATTTTATTGAAGATTTACTCCTTTTGGATAAAACTGAAAGCATTTATCATGCGTAAATATTCTGTAATAAAAGAACGATCAAAAGTTTGGTTGATGCGGTTTCTGTGCCATTTAAATATAGTATTTACATTCAAACAATTTGTACAAAAAGTTATTTACAACCAATCGTTTGCTATTGATGTTTTAAACAATTTAACCTTTTAGTTTGATGTGTTCTTTTTTGTGAACGTATATTTTAGTGTCGTTTGAGTCTGAATGATTTGTCGATAGGCCGCCAGACTTAGCGCACATAGGAAGGTAAAGCAGCGTTAA